TGCCAGCCTCCACAATCAGGAGTCAATTTAATAAATCTCTGTGTTTGTGCCCACCCCCATATATATACTGTTACGGACTGAATATTTGTGTCTCCCCTCTACCAAATTCACATGTTGAAGCCCTAACCCCAAGTGTGGCTGTATTTGGAGATGAGGCCTCTAAGGAATTCGTTAAGGTTAAATGAAGGCATTAATGGTGAGGCCCTGATCCAATAGGATTAGTGTCCTTATACAAAGAAACACAGAAGAAAAGGCCATGTGAGGACATAGTGACAAGGTGGCCATCTGCAAACCAGGAAGAGAGCCCTCACTAGAAACTGAATAGGCCACAACCTTGATCTTGAACTTCTAGCCTCTAGAACTGTGAGAAAACAAATTTCTGGCTAGGTGCGGTGGTTCACACCTATAATCCTAGCACTCTGGGAGGCCGACACAGGATTGCCTGAGCTCAGGAGTTCGAGACCAGCTTGAGCGTGAGACCCTGTCTCTACTAAAAACAGAAAAATCAGCCAGGTGTGTGGCACATGCCTGTAGTCCTAGCTACTCAGAAGACAGAGGCAGGAGGATCACTTGAGCCCAGGAGTTTGAGGTTGCAGTGAACTATTATCCACTGCATTCTATCCAGGGTGACAAAGTGAGACTCTGTCTCAAAAAACAAAAAAAGGGAAATTGAACCTCATTCCCCTGCCTTTAAAAAACAAAACAAAAAAAGAAAACAAATTTCTGCTGTTCAAGTTACCCAGTCTATATTTTGCTCCCCAGCAGACTAACACATATACATATATATAGACATATATTTATTTATGCATATCCTGTTGTTTCTGTTTTTCTGGAGAACCCTGAGTAACAGGTGTAACAGAGTCCTCCTAGACCTTTCTTGGCCATTACCTACTGAGCTTCCCCTTGGCACTTCTCTCCTCTCTCTTCTACTGGTTCTCCCTTTACTGAAGCAAATGAGTCCCTCAGAGGTGTTCTCACCCTTGCCTCTACCTCTAAAATCCTGCCTCCCCAGCCCATCCTTTCCACCTCTTCTTCTTCTATAACTTCAACCTCTATCCTCAGCATACAGATGCATTCAGTGTTTCTCTAAACATTGCCCCAACCCTGCAGCCCTCTCTAGCCATGGCTTGCCCTCCTTTCCTCACTGCAAACTTTTCTAATAAGCCTCCTATGTTCACATTTGCCCTCACCTCTCATTCTGTATTAGGCAGCATTCTTTCAGTTGTAAGTGACGGAAACACAACTCAAAATGTCTCAAGGGGGAAAAAAAGAATCTTTTTGTTCTTAGAACTGAAAAATACAGAAGTAGATCTTTCACTTCAAGCATGGCTGAATGCAGGTCCTCAATGATGCTGACAGAGTCATCTCTCACTCTCTGCTTTCCTCTCTGTTGACTTCATTCTCAGACTGACCCCTCTTGACGGTGAGATGGACACCAGAAGCTCCAAGTTTACATTTCACCTAATTTTAGCCCCAGCAGGAAGAGCACTTTTTTCCCAGAGATTCCAGAAACAGTCCTGGAATTGAGTCTCATGAGCCAGGCCTGGGTCACATGGGGTGGTCAGCTCAATCCAAATCACAAAACTGGAAGAAATGAGGAACAGTGGTTCCCCAAAGGGATACTGAGGTGCTGGTATCTGAAGAAAGGGAATTGGATGTAGGCAGGCCAAACCAACAGATGTCCACTACACTTCCACTCCTCAAGCCAGTGCAAACTGATTTCCACTCCCAGCATTCATTGATATCTCTCCCCCCAGGGTTACGAGGGATCTTGATGGCCAACAGTATCTGCTCAGCACTCACTCTTCTTCGCCTTTCTGCCAATCACTCCTTCCTCTGCAAACCTCCTTGACTTCCATGACCCAGCTCTAACTGAACTTTCTCCAATCTCTGTGACCCACCCCTCTACCTCCTGCACACAGAGCCCTCCTCTAAGACTCAGTCCTCAGTCCCCCACCTTCAGTCTCCACCATCGTCCCACTGCTCTCCTGTGCAAACTTCTACCTACTTCCTGGACATCTTCTAAATCTTCTTTTGTCTCCTAGCAATCACCTGAGCTCCCAAGAGCCCCCAAACTAGTGGCTCTGGCAATTTCACAGATTCATGATTTATCACCTCATCTTTTCCCCCTGCCTCTTTCCCAGCCCCCACCTCTAGTCAGTCACCATGTTAATCACTTCCCTGTTGGAACCCACTTTCCCATCAATGTTCCCCACTTAGCTCCACACCACTGCCCTGCCCACACCTTCCTCATGCCATTCCCGCATGTCTCTGCCACAGCCTCTGCCCTAGCTACCCTGCACACAGGGACCAGATGAGCCTCCTAAGCAGCAGCTGATCACGTTATTCCTTTCCCTGAAGATTTCCAGTTCCCTATTGCTACTAAGGCTCCTCAGCATGGACTGCTTTCAGGGCCCTGGCATTTGTCTCTAGATTTACTTTCAATTATTCCTCTTGTTGAGCCCTTTAGGCTCAGCCAAACTAGTTTACTCACTCTCCCCCAAACATGCCAAGCATTTCCCGATCTTTGAACTTTTCCATTAGGTCCCCATTGGTGACTCTTCTAAATTTTACTATTTCAAAACTAAGCTCGAAGCCATCTCTGTGACGTTATCCCTAAATACATCAGCTGGTTTCTCCAATTTTCAATGTATAAATGTTTGTTGATTTTGCATAATGAGGATGTGGTGCCTCCTCTAGCAAGCAGATCACAGGTCAGCCTCCCTCAGAGCCATGCATTTCCCCAAAGAGAATGTTGTCTGTCCCTCAGCCTACTGTTGTGAGCGACCGAAAGTTGTCTTCCTGACCCTCCTGCCCCTATCCCCCTCACAGGGTTGTTTCAAGATGAATGTGAAAATACTTCATACACTGTTGCCATTTCATGTTAGGGATGAGCATTAAACAGGAATAAAGACAGAAAATTGAATCAACTGCAGACCCTTGGCCTGGCACAGTGGCTCAAGCCTGTAATCCCAGCACTTTGGGAGGCCAGAAGGATCATCTGAGGCCAGGAGTTTGAAACCAGCATGGTCAACATAGCACGACCCAGTCTCTACCAAAAATAAAAAAATTAGCTAGGCACACCACCACACTCCAGCCTGGGCTACAGAACAAGACCCAGTCTCTTAAAAAAAAAAAAAAAATTGCAGATCCTAAAATTTTAACTTTCTTAAATACTTAAATGTTTTTCTTCAAAACTTTCCTACAAGGCCGGGCGCGGTGGCTCACGCCTGTAATCCTAGCTCTCTGGGAGGCCGAGGAAGGCGGATTATTTGAGCTCAGGAGTTCGAGACCAGCCTGAGCAAGAGCGAGACCCCGTCTCTACCAAAAATAGAAAGAAATTAATTGGACAGCTAA